CGTGTAACCTCCACGTCCCAACACTGGTGAGCCATTCGTCTGCAACGCGCTATTAACTTGGATATCTTCGCCACAACACGATCAAACTTGGTGAGTCTGTCAGTTTTCTATCCATTTATCATATTATTTATTCTGTTGCTTAATACTTATATATAATAAACTAGCAACAGCGTTTCAATCTTAATTAACAATGGATAGCGCTGAATGTACTGATGTGACAGACTCCCAGATCCAGGTCCTTAATTTTCGACCTGTCTCCTTCATTCCCCACGATCCAGAGGTCTGGTTCGCGACACTGGAGACTCAGTTCGAGATCCGTCGCATAACGAACCAGCGGCTCATGTTTGCCTATGCCCTGGAATCCTTACCTGGGGACCATATAGCGGCTGTCCGTGAGGTCGTCCTCAACCCCAATGCCCCAGATGCCTACAATCGTCTCAAGGAGGTGATTCTCCAGCATTTCCTCCCATCGAAGGAGGAACGTTTGAGGACTCTTTTAGCACGTCACCCTATGGGTGATGCTAAACCGAGCCACCACCTCACGCGCCTGCAATCACTAGCAGGACCGACAGCGGCTAACTCAGATATAGTCAAGGAGCTTTGGCTCGACTCATTACCAGCCTATGTTCAGCCTACGATCGCCGCCCTGCCCGAAGATATGCCGCTACGCCAAGTTGCACTAGTGGCAGACAGAGTGATTACACGAACCGGCCATCGAGACAACTATACTGTTGCGTCTACGCCACATACCGGCGTGGGCCTCGAGGCCAAACAGGGTAAAGCTCATAAGGATCAGGGTTGCTGTATACACAGCCGTCTGAGTTTTTCAGACCGTTCCAAGGTACCTGAACCCTACGTCCTGCGAGCACGATCGCGATCACGTAAGGCTGTAAGTACTCGCCCCCAGCGGGCGTCTTCCAAGCCACGCCAACGAGTGGCTTCGGAAGCGAGTACCGGTTGTTGCTGGTTCCACCGGACTTTCAGGTCCGCCGCCCGTCTTTGTCGACCTCCCTGCTCATACAAGGCGGGAGACTCCGGCGTGTAAAAGCGGCCCTACTCGCCGGCCACTCACCTCAGGTTGGCCGTTTATTTTACGTGCTCGATATTCGCACGAACGCTACGTACCTAGTTGACACCGGTGCCCAAGTTTCTGTCGTACCATTAGGTAGCAGCAAGTTACAACCTACAATAATTCGATTACGCACTGTGAATGGCACTGTCATTCCTACCTATGGTATACGACAGCTATCGGTCAACCTGAGCAACCGACGACAGTATCTGTGGACGTTCATCATTTCTGATTTTCCCACAGCTATACTCGGTATCGATTTCCTACAGCACTATGAATTGCTAGTCGATTTACGTAGGCTGCAATCAATCGATACTTCGTCGAACAGCGTATTCATGGGCTTTCGAGCACAAACAAATGCGTAACGCATTACAGGTGTATTTCATTCGCGTGACAACATATTCCCCGCTTTATTCGAAAAATTCCCCCACCTAACTAAACCACTCGAGAAGATTTCATCGGTGACTAACCGTGTGGTTCACCACACCGTCATTCGCGGACTACCAGTCACGGCAAAACCTCGCCGACTGGCACCGGACAAATTAGCTTTCGCTAAACGTGAGTTCTACAATTTACTAGCTACTGGTATTATTCGTCCTTCTCACAGTCCATGGGCCTCACCACTCCACATGGTTCGAAAAAACGATGGGATAAGTTGGCGACCATGTGGCGACTACCGAGCACTAAATGTAGTCACGCGTTTCGATAGTTACCCAATCCCCCACATACACGATATCACCGCATCACTCAAGGGCACGACTATCTATTCCAAGATCGATCCGGTACGGGCATACCATCAGATCCCAGTCGCTCCTGAGGATATTGAGAAAACTGCTGTCACGACTCCTTTCGGTCTGTTTGAGTTCCTACGAATGCCATTTGGATTACGGAATGCTGCTTAAACTTTCCAGAGGTTTATCGATAGCATAGTACGAGACTTTGATTTTGTTCACGTCTATATTGATGACTTGTTAATCGCATCATCAAACGTAGATGAACATTATCAACATCTGAAACTCTTATTCCAACGTCTTTCGGATAATGGAATACTAATCAACCCAGATAAGTGCGAACTCGGAAAAGCAGAAATAAAATTTCTGGGTTACGTTATAAAGCATGAGGGTATTTTACCATGTGAAGATAAAGTACGTACGATCATGGAGTACACTGTACCGTCTTCACTCAAAGAACTGAAGGCTTTTCTCGGTTTGGTCAACTTCTATCGACGTTTCATTCCTCACGCCGCGGAACAGTTACGACCACTAACCGATCTACTTCGCGGGAATCCACGTAAGCTAGAATTGAACGATGACGCACGTACTACATTTTCCGAAATTAAAAAAGCTTTAGCTCAAGCTACGCTCCTCGCCCATCCCGACTCATCAGCCACGCTCAGTATAGCGGTTGATGCATCCGATTTCGCTATAGGAGCCGTCATGCAACAAAACATCTCTGGAAGTTGGCAACCTCTCGAATTTTTCTCACGACGCCTTACTACCACGGAGATGAGATATAGCGCTTTTGGTCGCGAACTGCTAGCAGCCTACTGTGCCATCAAACATTTTCGGCACACAGCAGAAGGTCGTAACTTTATCCTTTTTACCGACCATAAGCCTCTAACGTATGCTCTTCATACAAAATCTGACCGCTACTCACCACGAGAGTGCAGACATTTGGACTATATCTCTCAGTTCACGACAGACCTTCGTCATATTAAAGGCGAGTCGAACTACGTTGCTGATGCTTTGTCACGTATTCAAATGAATGCAGTTACTTCACCAGTGCTCGATCTTCCTGCTATGGCCGCCGCCCAAGCAAACGATCCTTCTTGTTCAGAAGCACAACAAAATACATCCCTTCAGTGCCAGGAAGTGCCCCTAGCTACTACCTCAGGCACTATCCTATGTGATACCTCTAATGGTCTTCCTCCACCCATCGTACCCTCTGCTTATCGTCGTCTCGTCTTCGATGCCCTTCATGGTTTGTCTCATCCAGGTATCGCAGCTACATCACGTCTCATCGCTGCACGATACGTTTGGCCTTCAATGAACAAAGATGTCCGTATGTGGGTAAAGCAATGCTTACAATGTCAACGATCAAAAGTGCACAGGCACATAGCCGCCCCCATCGGCACATTTGCTACGCCTGATGCTCGCTTCGATCACGTTCATATTGACATTGTAGGACCATTACCACCATCACATGGGTATGATTTCATACTCACGTGCTTCGATCGTTTCACAAGATGACCCGAAGCGATTCCCATCACTTCTTTTACGGCGGAAATAGTTGCTCACCGTTTCATAGAACGATGGATAGCTCTGTACGGTTGTCATTCGACTATCGCGACTGACCGACGACAACGGTTCGAGTCCGAATTATTCTCCTCTCTAACCCGGCTGCTTGGTACGGAGAGCATAGGCACTACCGTCTACCACCCAGCTTCAAAGGGTTTAGTCGAAAGGTTTCATCGCCAACTCAAAAACGCTCTTCGAGCACACGAAAACAATAATTGGTACGAAACCTTACCGCTCGTCCTTCTAGGCATCAGAACGAGCTTAAA